TAGGATCCGCAACAACAACAAAAATCCACCTAAGAAATCTTAGGCTTCCAAGAATGCTCCTGCCTCTGTGCACAAGATCTGTTCCAAATCTTTATTTTTTAACGCTTGTGTTTGTGCAGAGACTGTTGTTACAAAAGAAGTCTGCTTGCTTACTTACAGTTATCTTCCTCTGTATCTGAGAGATTTTAGAGGTTTGCCTGTAAGCAGATTTGACCCTGTCCAAAAATCCATTAACTTAGTTAGAATATTACAGTTTTCTAATGAATATAAGATTTGAGAGCATTTAATTTCTTAGAATTGTAGTTTGAGCATTTCTAAGAATACTGCTTGTTTTGCATTCTTGCCTGCTGCTGTTCAGACCTTTAATGGTGTTTGAAGTAGGCTCAGCTGCTACAATAATATAATAATATAATTAAATATAATTTCAGGCATCTTTTTTTACTAAAGTACATTTAGCTGAAATTCATCTTTAAACATGAATTTTTTGTAGGTACTTATTCCAGAATGGAATTTATAAGGATGATGAAGAGCCAAAGTGTTGTATGAGTGCTTTTCAGTAATTTTTCTGAAACTTAATAGGCAGAGCAATGAACCTGCGTAGGAATAGAACTACATGCTTTTTAAAAAAGCAGTTGTATTTTAATGACTTCTCTTATTTTTTTTCTAAGAATTCTGAAGAGCTTGACTAATATTCCATTTTTTCTAATTTATTTGATTTTTATTCTGTTGAATCCTATGGTTTCAGTGACTTCTTCATGTATATAATAGTAAGTTTCCCTCCCCAATAAAAAAGATTTTTTTCAGAATTTTAAAAATACTTATCACGCTTTCTATGTACAGCATCAAATAAAGATGCTGAATAAAAAGAGTATAGTATTCAAAAGAGGTTTGGAAAGACAGGTGGACAGTTTCTTGTCCTTGTTATGTCCAGAAATATTGATGGCTTAATTTGTACAAGCTATTCTCAATTTTCATTGTATGATAAGGCCATGGAGATAAGTAAACATAATATTTTACGCCTAATTTTATTGGTAGCCAAAAATTTAAATCTGAGTTGTTTATAATGGCCTGCAAAGATGAGTGATGCTAAAGGTTATCATCTATTTCTGTTACTGTTTAAGTCTGCTGTCTTAAGACTTGGCAAAGTCACAGTAGGTTGTTTTTATTTATGTCTGTTACTACAGTCAGATTAAGTAGATGATGGTTCTTTTTGGTTTGGTTTTAATGGAAGCATAAAGTAAATGCACCATTAAAAATTTGAATAAAAGTATGTGAATTCTTGATTTCAAAAATTACTGATATTGTTTAAGACCTACCTGAATTTACTAGAGGTAAGCAGCAGGTTCTTCACTGAATAATGAACAAACAGAGACTTTGTTCTAATAATAAGGCTCTTAAAGTAAATGGATTTAGGACTTCACAAGAAATTAATCTTGAATATGCTTCTGGCTGCATTTTCAGGAGGAAGAGTTTTAGAAAAGCAAAGGCTGTTTTTAATAATTAATTCCTCACCTCTTGCCCCCTCCCTTAATTCTACAGCGTTTTGAGCTACAGGATTCAAAAAGCCATTTGGTTCCCGGAAGGATTACCAAAGTAGAAAGTGTTCTTGGAAATAAAACCTTCAAGGCTGATGTAGCTGTCCAGATTGGTGATAAAGAAGTGTTTTTCCAGGTATTAATTCATATATTCATAAAACTATGTATTTTAGTTATCACTAATTGAGTTCCATCTCATCCAGAATTTGACACTTACAAATGAGTTACAGTATCAAGTGCATTGAATACTTAACTTTTGGTAGCTTAATGTGATATTTATGAGTAGATCATTTAATTATTGTATCATTGCATTATGATTAAACAAGCTTTTGTCTTTGAATAATACTTTGCTACATTTTATCTATTTAAGTATCTTGTATTAAAACAAGTGCTAAAGAACAGATAAAAGAAATTTCTAGATTTCTTTTTTTTGATTGAATTGGCATTATACGGAGTATACATGATGCTCTTGGTGCTGCTTTCTCTTTTTCTTTGAATAAAAGCAAAAGTCCATCTTTGTCTACACCTCAAATAAAATGTAATGAATACTTGCTAATGTTCTGACACAGGATATTGGGAAAAGAGAACAAAAGTAATCGCATCAAATATGATTATTTTGATTTTCTTCCAGTGAAGTTTATAGCCTGCTAGATGGTGAAATAAGGTCTTAATGAGGAAACAGATGCTGATCTGAGAACTTGATGTGAATGTTTCATTTGAAGAGACTGTAGAGTCTCTGTAAAGGAGATGAATTGATGGGAGTCAGAGATCATATTGGTGAATCTGTAAGGAGTCGATGAGACTCTACTGAGGGAAATATTTTTGCTTTCGTTTGGCCTGTTTGGAGGTGATAACTGTTGAAAGCTCATCTGCAGAATATGCCTTTTGGGGAACACGAGGACATTAGGAGTTTACAGATGAAACAGTTTTCAGACTAAAACCGTGAAGTGGGAATAGAACAAGTGTCTTAATGTGGAGAAAAACTGAATATTGCTGCTTTCTGAAGCTCCAATCAAAATAATCCCTTCAAGTTTTCCTAATACAGATTGCTCCTTCTCTTCTTATTTCTCTGATGAGCAATAAGGAATTATATTGGCAACTTTTGTGTTTTGGCTCTACCATGAACAGCCTCAAGTTCTTTGTATACCCCAAAGCTACTGTTGAATTGGTTACCATTTCCTTGTTTTTCCTTCAAGTGGGCAGTGGAGGAGTGGAGGAAGTTGGATCTATTACAAATTATGCAGTGTTCATTTTAGCAGTGAAAGGTGTAGATTTGATAGATGAGAGTTATCAGCAAACTATTACAATATTTTTGGTGCTGTGTAACCCAGTCCACATGAACTCTAACGCTATTGATATTTAGTTTATTTAGCTTTTTCTTCTATTTCTTCCATATAGGTTCCTGTTGGGACTGGACCATTAAAGCTTTCTGGATCAGATTCTTTCATAAGGACTCCCAGTCATGATCAGCTGTTGGCAGAAATGATGCAATCCCATATGGTTAAAGATATGTGTTTAATTGGAGGAAAAGTAAGAGTTAAAATTTCCTTTGTCCCCTATTTCTCTTGTTTCCTAGAACGTAATCTAGTTCCTATTTTTTAAATCTTTTTAGGGCTGTGGCAAAACAGTTATTGCTAAGGAGTTTGCTGATATACTGGGATACAGCGTAGAACCTATCATGCTGTATCAAGTAAGTAAACTATTTGCTGATGCTTTTAGTATATGCTATTTCTGTTTAACATAGTCTGATATATAACACACAGAGGTAGATTCTCTTTGTAAGTTGGAGTCTTCATTTACAACTGCAGCTTTCAAAATCACTGGTACAGGGAAAAAAAAAAAAGACAGCCAAGACTTGGAAGATAGTGAAGTTTTCTGGTTATTATAGGACATTTTGGGCTCTCTTTGTATAATGTTTGTCTAAAATCTTTTCTGATTTGCAGCATTAGATACTATGCAGCCAAGGCAATATAGGTAGTATTCTGTTTTTACATATTCTTTAGTCCTGGTACTGTTGTGCTTCCATTGTATTGACTTCAGTATGAATGCAAGAGAAAGATAGAAAATTTACATAAAGAAAAGTGTAAGGAGAATCATTTAAATGAACAATTTTTCTCCTAGCTGAGAAGAATTGACAACTTGTGCTGTGATTTAGCGTGTCTAAAAGAGTGTCATAAAGAAGACCTGGTCTCTTTTGCCTTCTCTTCTTTGGATTTTTTCCCCTTTGAAGTATGTTTCCTGCATTAGGTCAGAGTGGTGGCTACTTGTACTTCCATGTTGAATGGCCCTGGAAGACCTTTTCTCCTTCCTTTTTTTGTTTGTCCATATGCTGTGTAATTTTATAATGGAGTTCTCCATTACCCACATTATTTTTCTTATTATTCTTGAAGGCATTTTCTTTATTATATTGAGAATGCATAATGACTTTTCTCTCTTTTTTTCCTTTTTTTTCGTGCTGCCATCTCCTAATATTCTCTTACATGCTTATATTTTTATGATGCCAAATATAATTTAAAAAAGTAATTTCTATACTTTTTCTTTGCTTATATTTCTGTTTATACCAATGATTTTGGATGTGACACAGCTGTGTTGCAGTAATATACATTTATGTACTATAGTATATAGTAATATACTATATTACTGTGTTGCAGTAATATACATTAATAAGTAAGACAAGCAGTTGACTTAGCTGCCTTAGAATGACAGTCACGGGGTAAAGATGACAAGAAGGGAGAACTGGAGAAGTCAGAAGGGTCTCCGGGGCCTTGAAGGGACTGGCAAGGATCTTGGAGTGCATTTTTAGGAAGTTGGAGGAGAAAGTTTACAGTAAGTGAAAAGATTGTGTCAGAGTGAACGTTCTGACTAAGCTCGTATTAAAGTTTGGATTAATGAAAAATAAGACGGGGAAGCGGAATGATTCCAAAAAGTGTGAACATACACAGCAGCAGGAGAATGAACGATTTTGGAGCTGCCAGTTTTCACAGGGTATAAGCAACAATAAACATGAAGCTGTGAGGATGCTGTCAGGCTAGGATTTTTTTATTTTATTGGGAAAATTCTTTGGATTTTCTCTTTTGTTTTGCAAACCCCAAGTTGAGGCATGCTCAAGTGTGATCTTCCATAGCCAGTAGGCGCTCCCTACTTGTTTGGATGGTAGTGTCCATTTGGGATCTTGGTGCACTATAACTTGGAAGGGACAAAAAAAATGAGAGAAAATGGAAAAAAGAAATACTAACGCTGATGGAAGAAGTAAGACACAGTCTGTTTTCTGTATATCTGAGAACCTCCCCAGAGAGGTTCCTACTGCTCTTCTGTCCCACAAGATGCCTTTAATAAAGTCACAGACCCTGAATCTATGTCTGCGTGGACAGTCACACACATGAGAGCTCTTCTGCCATGCTTTAACCCAGCCAGATGTGAACTGAGCCAGAACTGATATGTCCAGCCCTCTTCCGTACTTTTTTTGTCGCTTGTCCATGCAGGCATGTTTGAGATCCTCCTAGGAAAATAACTTTTTTGACTTGACAAACCCACTTGAGGACCCAGCCTAGCTCTTGTTTTGTCGTATGCGAGCTGGTGTTGGGTTCTCATCACCAAAAAGAGACAGTTATTTGGGACGGGAAGCTTAAAAAGATGGACAGGGAAAAGGTGGCCAGTGTTTTTCAGGACCCTACCTTTAAACTGAGAGAGCTTTGCTGAAAAGGATCTGAAGATTACCCCTTACAAGACACATGAGGGGAGCTGACAATGACACTGGCTGACTCAGGAAGTGTTTTTCTTTCAGAAGGATCTCTAATTCCTCCAGAAATAAAATGTAGGCCAAGGGCCTGAACAAGTTCCCGCTGCAGTGGACCTTTCCTTTGGTTTTGCCAAAGGATTCCATAAAGTTCAAAGAGCAGAGTGTTGTTATAGAGATTTTTTTTCTTTTTTTTTGTCTTTTTTCCTTTTTTTTGTCATTTTTCTTTTTTCCTTTTTCTTTTTTTCCTTTTTTGTCTTTTTTCCTTTTTTTTCCTTTCTTTCTTTTTTATGATACTAAACAGGATTGTGAAGGCAAACAAATGACTACTTGTGAGATCACTGTGGAGTATGGGCTCAGGAGTACATACATGTCCCTATATAGAATTAAACATCTTTGTACATATACAACTTTCCTATATGCAATATCCTATATAATCTCAAAAGTTATTAAAAGAGGACAAATACAAAATATGTTTGCATACATGTGACATATGCATGGCTTGATACATGCATTTTAAATTTGATCCTTATCTCACAGTATATCTAAACCAGGCATTGACAGACTTTTTGCACTTAGATTATCTTTTGTAATAGAAATCGTCTTGTACAAAAATTGCTGTCTTATTTGTGTTCTTCTACATCATTACTTGGATTTTTGATTAACTAAAAATCTATGTAGGCAAATTCTTGACAAAGGAAAGTCATTTTGGGGAAAGATTTATTTTAGGTGTCCCTTAATGTAGGTAAGCAGTGGCAAACAAGAAGCAGCGGCGAGCCTGCTCTTTCTGGACTGTAGTTTTCTTTTTATGCATGACCTCATGATTTTTCTTTAGAAATTCCTTCCTATTTTTTATTTGAGAAACATTAACAAATTATGAGTCCAAATTGGCATGAAAAGCAGGAAACAGATTTCTGCACCTTGTAATTGCCAAGAACATGATTATCACTGGGAGAGCCATGAAAACTGGCTAATTTGGAGGCTTTTATTGCTATTGCTGCTAAAGGGCGTTTGGTGCACACTTCTTGTTTTCTTTCCTGAACTTTGTGCGACTTATCTGAAAACTTTTAATTAAAAGCTTGCTTTGTATTAGATTTTATGCTCTCTCCCTTTTTTTACCCCATTTCGAATATATTTGAGTAAATAAATGCTAATGAATGTCATACACTTAAAGCACAAAGATTTGCAAATGAAGATAAGCATTTTGTGTCTTAAGAAATACAATTGTAGGAAAGATTTACTTAAAATAAGAAAAAAAAACATAACTTCCCTATCTCCATTTTTGAAGGGAGTATCGCATAATAGATAATTTTAAAACTGAATAGAAATGTATTACAGTAAATCACTGGGCAAAAACTCAGCCTTGAAACAAGTCTGTTACAGAGCCAGGGCATGTGTTAGTGAATGATTTTATTTTTAATATGTCACTAAGTTGAATCTGATTCAAGCATTTAAATTATGGTATAAACTTTCATTTTGTATTTTGGAAACTATTTTGCATACAAGTATACTTCTAATTTTATCTCCATATAATATCATCATGATTCTTCACTGGTGATTTTGCAGGTAGAAAACATTATATGTAGTACATTAAACTGCTGGTCAGTTAATATTAGACACTGCTTCACTCTTGTAGAGGTGTCTTGTCGGAAGGTGTCTTAGTTGGGTATCGTGTCCTGCAGGAGAATGCGCATGCGTTTTTGCAACTTTTTACACAAACCATAAAAACACTTATATTTTTTCCCTGTCTTTGATAAATATATACATATATTTCAAATTGTTTTTAACCTAATTCAATAATAAAATACTAGAAAAGAGCAAACAGCATTAAAATCTAAAAGCCCAACAATAAACATATTTTACTGGTTTTATGGATCTGAATGTGAGGCTTTAAGTTATACAAATGTGGAAGTGTCTAAGGAACCAGACTTTGTCCTGTTATTTTAAGGCTTTTAAGGAAATGTAGAAAGAGGAAATGATTCAGGCCGCATGACGTAATGTGTTCTATTTTTATTCTTTAAAGTTCAAAGGGTTTTCAGTTGTAGAAAGGACGCATGTAAAAACTGCAACTGAAACATAAAATATTTTTCTCATCTGATTTTAGGTTAAATTCTGTTCACAGCACAGCCTGAGGAAGGAATTTTGACTTCCAGTCACAAAATGGCTATTAAGGCTTGCTTTGTCGTAGTGCCTACCTGCTGTAATGGAACATCTGCAATATGTGCAAGGAGGATATGCCAGCCTTTGCTTTTGGATATCCCTAAAGTGTTAATTTGTGATACTCTATCACAAATTAGCTATCACTCTAGTGTATATTTCTGATATTTTGCTAGAGTGTATTTTTTATGTCTTTTTGTTGGCTCCTTTCTTAACTCTGTCCTTTCTTCTATGACATTTCCACTGTATTTTCATTTTGAGAGTTAGAATGTCATGCTTTTTTGTACATGTTAAGATCTCACTTGAAGATTAATGACAAAATCGTTGCTTTTTCAGCTTCCATCTGTATAAAACGAATGACACTTGTTTATTACAGGTGTAAATTGCTGCCCCCTTCTGTACACAAAGCTGCATACAAGTTGTCATATGTCTGCAAGACATTTATGAAAAAAAAGAGAGGCTTTTGTTCTAGTTTCAAAGAGGCAGTATTAGCAAGTCTAGACCTATCAGACGATATTTAACATTTTATGTGTGGTGTTGTGTGTGTGTTGGTGTCTATTTCTAGTGTTCTTTGGAAAAGTAATTTAAGATTTCCTGCTGATCTGCCTTGGGTGTAGTCTCAGGAAAAAACAAAAGCAGTTTTGAAGAAGAAAATGAGCACTTGTAGGTGAACAAGAAACTGCACAAATCAGTTCTTCTGATGAATTGGTACTTACAGGACATGACAGCTAGAGATTTGCTGCAGCAAAGATACACCCTTCCTAACGGAGACACCGCGTGGAGACCATCGCCACTTGTTACGGCTGCCCTGGAAGGAAGGCTGGTCATTCTGGATGGCATTCATCGAATTAACCCTGGCACTCTGGCTGTGCTGCAAAGGTCAGGATGTGATGGACACAGATGAGTTGGGGGCACCTGAGCTGTTTGCTGAGCCGCATACGTACTGGGAAATTAAGTTTCCTCTGTTGAATGCAACTTTAATAACTTCAGTAACTTCAAGAGTACTGTAAAAATCAATCTCAGCATTGAAGGTTTACCAAGTATGTAACACTCGCTCTTTGCATACTTGAAAGCAGAAACAAGTCTGCCCTGTTCTTTATAATTCTATACTAATATTAGACCTTTCAGCTGTTTGTGAATATGGCATATGTTCTTAGACGTGACGAAGAAGTCACATTTTGCCCTTACTAAACTCATGAAGCCTAAAGATGAGTGATAGGTGCACAAAGATTTGAAAATGAAAGATCTATCACAAATTGTGTTCAATACTTTGAAGCATTCTTCTAAATTAAGCATGTGATCATTGCAGTCATATGCTTTATAAGCCTTATTTCAATAAATTCAATAAACTTTAGTAAAATAAGTGTATAACTAAATATATAAATATAAATGCATAAATAAAATACAATTTGAATATATTAAATTGAATTCCATAAAAAAAATTAAACTTTCTGAAGATACAAATGCTAGTAGCAGATAGTGTGTTAATAATAACAATAACTATATCCATACTGCGGGGTCAAATTTTTATGCTGTTTCAGTTGCTTGCACCATATAATGCCTTTCTTAAACTTAAAGAAATCACCATCTTTAATAGCAGTCTCTTGCAAAAGCATTTGCTGACTATTACTTTTATTGCAGACATGCACAGAGACGGAAGAGAGAATGATTCATGCCTGTTTTTCTCCTCTTAACCAGTTTAGTTTTCCCTTCTGATTTTTCTTTCAACATCATGTGTCATGTCACATCTATATACACAGAATCAAGTTCTGTGTGAAAAATGTATGTTAGCATTTATGTTAGCATTTAAACCAAATAAATATTTTTCTTCAAGAAGCAAAAAAATCTAGAACTCTCAGCAAAATAAAATGACTGTGTTTTGAGCCTGATAAGATGGAAATTTTTCTTCTTTTTCTAATCATGTCTGTTTAAACTAACTGACTGACTGCTGACTTTGCACTGAGACTCTTTGCTTTTTCAAATTATTTTACCTGCGCATGTGGATGCATCTTAAATTAGCGTAACTTTTTTTTTTTTTTTGAGTGTTTTACAGTAACGTACGTTTTGACTGAGATAGCCAAAGAAGCAGTAGGTGAAATAGTATTTTTAGGAAGCATCTAAAGACTGGGTAAAGTTTACTTTTTTCTTTTTTTTTTTTTTTCCTCCCATACAGGCTAATTCATGACAGAGAACTGACTCTCTATGATGGCACCAGATTGTTAAGGGAAGATAGATATGAAAACTTAAAAGAAGAATTGCAGGTCTCTGATGAGAAACTACGGGAAAGGTAATGTGTTAGTTACAGATTATTATTATATACTTTTTTTATTTATATACTGAAATACTGAATGTCAGTGGTATTTCATACTGTAAAGAGTTTAATCTCCTTTTTTATTACAAAAACATCTTGCAAAATGCTTTCCTCTTAAGCTCATACCTTTTAATCACTGGGAAAACATGTTTTAAAGTCAGTTTCCTCATAAGCTTTTTTCCTTTTGTGGCATGAGAAAATTATATCCTGTTTAGAGTGCTCAAACTAAAAGAAAAACATATCCTTTAGCAGAAGCAGTTAGAGATTGAAAAGAAATTGTAAGTACACAAAAACATAAATCTAAAAGTATATAATATTTAATTTTGGGCTATTTTATTAGGAGCACCTCAAAATTGAACTACATTAAATTTAAATATAATTTGTTGCTTACTTTGGCTCATTAACTAGAAAGCTGGTATTTAATTTACAACCAGTATTGGGCAGGAAATCATAGGGATGGGTTGTCAGCACAGCAGTTTTTCTCAGCTGCCCCGTTGAGGTGAAGTGCTGCTCTGCAGGGGCTTCCCTTTGCTTGCCTAGTTTGCATGTTGCTGGGTTATCATCCAGTTCAGTGTTTGTGACTGGAAGTACTTGGTGGCTTCACTGAATGTTACTTGTTCACCTTGGGGACTTGAGAAAGCTGTTTTCTACCTTCAGGTCCATAAATGAAGGGTGTCTCTTATGTTGGACAGGGATATGTTCTTAATTGGCATGCATGCATCCTACTTGATCTGAAACCAAAGCAAAAACAAATAAAGGAAAACAAGATAAAATCCCTATGA